AACTTGTTTTTCTAATAATTATCAGAATATATTATTATAAATAATATATCTTCTATGTCTTCTTATACATTTTTAATTCTTTTCTTCTCATGTAAGAATAAGTGCTCGCAGGCGATTATTCAGGTGTTTGCAGCTTGATGTGATATGTACTGTTAACTACTAGAAGTATTCATGATAGAAAGATAAAATGTAGAGATTAAATATATAATAGTATTTAAGCTGAGTTATGAATAGTATTCATGAACTTCAGTGACCAGTCTATATAGTTATATATAGTCAAGAGTCACTAACTCTATTAGTTACACAAGAGATAGAAATAGAGATAAAGAATTTATAAGAAGTGAGATTTCTTATATATCTCTCTCTCTCTAAGACTTCATCTGTGAAGTCTTTCACTGAGTGATTTCATAGAATCAGACTCAGCACTGCAGTAATACTCACTAAAAACTCTTTATATCTATAAAAAAAATCTCACTGAGGAAAAATTCCTTATTATTATAAAGAGAAAAGAGTCTGTCACTCAGTTTCTTATTTCATAAAATTCTTTATAACCTGCAGATCTTTCTCTGACTATTATACAGATTCATCTTATATCTTTTATACAGAAGAGTTCTGATTGACTCTTAATTATTTCTGTAAGATTCTTATGTAATTATTATATAAATTTATTTCATATCTTTCAATCTGAAGAGTTTCAGTTAATCTTCAATCATTTTTTTATAAGATTCTTATATAATTATTATACAGATTCATTCTGCAGATGAATCACTTTCTGTGAGATCACTCTTATTAAAGAGAAGTATTTACAAGTTAATCTTTCACTTATTCTTGTAAATCATCATTCTTTAACACTGTAGAATTGCGAGAAATTTTTCATTCTTTCATCAACTCTGTAGAATTATAGAATCATGATATTCACAGTCTGTAATCACTTTTTATAGTTATATAGAAAGATTCAGATCTGTAATTCACAATCACTCTTTATTTACTAGAGTGATCTGACTGTTCTGTGAGATTACTTATAGTGTAAATAAATCTCTCTAGAGTAGTATAAATATCTCAGATCTATCTGTGAAATCTTTATCTTCTTTTTTCTTTTTCTTTTTTTTTCTTTTTCTATAAC